GTTAAATATGTGTGTGTGTGTGTGTGTGTGTGTGTGTGTGTGTATTTAGATATATACTTTCTTATTTCAGAGAGAGGAAGGGAGAGAGAAAGAGATAGAAGCATTGATTGACTGCCTCCTGCACACCCCCTCCTGGGGGATTGAGCCCATAACCCGAGCATGTGCCCTGACTGGGAATTGAACCCTGATCTCCTGGTTCATGGGTTGAGGCTCAATCATTGAGCCACACCAGCCTGGCAGAAAAGGGAAATTGTTAGAGTTGAATATGTAAGAATTAAGAATTTGTATTGGCAAGAATGTGTATCAACCAGAACTCCTAGGTATCGACTTAGAGAAACCTTGTCACTAGTATACCTAGAGATATGTGGTAGATCTCATTCTATAACAGCATTCCTCAAAGCAGCAAAAACATAAGACACTGAAATTTCTACTTACAGAAGAATGTATAACATTTGCTTTGTTCATAAAAGTTTACTTTTTTAGCAGTGAAAATGAATAAATTATAGTTACATGCATCAATCAGTGTGGAAGAATCTCAAAAACAACAAAATATGAGAAATTATAGAAGGATACATACATGTTCATACCATTTATTATAAAGTTTAAAAGGCAAGCAAAACTAATCATATAATTATATATTGTTACATATTGATTGTATATATTTTATATATTGATGTACTAATATATATACATCAGTAGTAATGTAAAGAAAAACAAGGGAATGATAAAAAACAGATACCCTCTCTTTCCCTGAAATAACTCAAGATAGTGGTTCCCTCAGAGAGAGAAGTTGGGGGTTGAGATGGGAATGAATACACAGAAACTTCAAAGGAATGACCAACTCCTTTTCATATATTGGGTTCATTAGTATTTGTTTTATTACTGGGCTTCATAATTTACATATGTCAAAATGTTCTTGTGTATATATTGGATATTTTATAATTTAAAAAAAATCGTGGGGGAACCCTAACCAGTTTGGCTAAGTAGATAGGGCATCAACCTGTGGACTTGAAGGGTCCAGGTTCAATTCCAGTCAAGGGCACATGCTTGGGTTGCGGGCTTGATCCCCAGTGGGGGTGGTGCAGAGGCAGCTGATCAATGGTTCTCTCTCATTGTTGCTGTTTCTCTCTCCCTCTTCCTCTCTGAAGTCAATAAAACAAAAACAACCAAAAAAAAACCTATATAATAAAAGGCTAATATGCAAATTGACCAAACGGCAGAATGACTGGTCGCTATGATGCGCACTGACTACCAGGGGGCAGACGCTCAATGCAGGAGCTGCCCTCTGGCTATCAGTGCACTCCCACAGGGGGAACACTGCTCAGCCAGAAGCCAGGCTCGTGGCTGGTGAGCACAGCGGCAATGGCGTGAGTCTTTCCCACCTCTGCAGCAGTGCTAAGCTGTCCGACTGCTGGCTTAGGCCTGCTTCTCCAAAGGCTCCCAGACTGCAAGAGGGCACAGGCTGGGCTAGGGATTCCCCCCTCCCCCGAGCGTATGAATTTCGTGCACTGGGCCTCGCACGTGCCCGCGTGGGTGTGTGTGTGTGTGTGTTTAAAAATGGGGAAACAGCCCACCATGAGTAAAATTTAAAAACAGACTACAAACCAGGGGGAAAATATTGTAACAAGGAAAGGCAAAATGTTAATACATTTAAATATGAAGAACTCTTATGAATCAGTACAAAAATTAAAGGTTATGAGTACTAATTCACAAAGGAAGAAATAGAAATGGTGATAAACATGAAAAAGGGTTTGTCCTTGTTAATCAGGGCCATGGAAATAAAAATAATGAGATTTTTTTGCCTCTCAAATGGCAGAGATTTAAATGTGGATAATAATTCTTGCCCTACCTGTTTTACAAGGCAGTTTATCAGATGAGATACTGTATATGAAAACTCTTTGGAAATTAAAATAAATCACCAAAGTATGTTCATTGTTGCTATAAGACAATTTGGTTGTTCAGGAAGAACTTAAAGAAAATGGAGAACTAATTAAAATTTCCAAAGGGCATCAGCAATAGAGACGATTCAATCACGTCATTTATAGGTTTGGCTATGTAGTGAATTTAGGTAAGAACCTACAAGCAGAGTTCAAAATTGAAAATAACTGAAGAAGTAGCCAGTCTGCCTTCTTTTTTTTTTTTTTTTTTTTTTTTTTTAGAAGATAGGATCCATCTTTTTTATTTTATTATTTTTTTATTTTGTTATTTTTTTACAGAGAGGAAGAGAGAGGGATAGAGAGTTAGAAACATCAATGAGAGAGAATCATCGATCAGCTGCCTCTTGCACCACCCTACTGGGGATGTGCCCGCAACCAAGTATATACCCTTGACCGGAATCGAATCCGGGACCTTTCAGTCCGCAAGCCGATGTTCTATCTATCCACCGAGCCAAACCGGTCTCGGCCAGTCAGCCTTCTTGATTAGACAGATGAAGGTGTTAGATACTGAGGCCCAGACAGAAGGGTTTTGCCCGAGATCACGGTAGTTTCCTAGGTTGTGCAAACAAGTTAAACTTTTCACTCCATGTCTCCTACTACCTATTTCCCTCCCTCTTTTCACTCTCCCCTCCACTTTTGGTATCACTGTTTTTAGCCTTCCCCTTTTGTTTTCCTTGTCCTTTTCCCCTTTGTTATATATATATATATATATATATATATATATATATATATATATATATATATTTTTTTTTTTTTTTTTTTTTTAAATATATATTTTATTGATTTTGTACAGAGAGGAAGTGAGAGAGATAGTTAGAAACATCGATGAGAGAGTCATCGATCAGCTGCCTCCTGCACACCCCCTACCAGGGATGCTCCCACAACCAAGGTACATGCCCCTGTCCGGAATCGAACCTGGGACCTTTCAGTCCGCAGGCCAACGCTCTATCCACTGAGCCAAACCGGTTTTGGCTGTTAATTATATATTTGAAGTTTTATTACAACTACTGTGTAATTGTATACTTCCTGTACTTAATTTAAGGAGGGCAATATAGAATTTGTTAAAAAGCAACAACTATGTTTTTTTCTATATTATCCTTGATTGCTAACATCTTTCCACCCCATCCCAACTTCTTAAAGGTTAGTGGGCTTCTGATAGAAGAGATCATATTTGTCTGTGCACTCTGACTGGCTGGCAAGGGAAAGAAGTGTGTAAATGAGTCTTTGTTTGGATTGAAAGTCTCTTTATCAATTATCCTCAGAAGCAAAGCCTTCTTAAAGCAGATAATTATTATCTGTTCAACAGAGTTCTAAAGAAAAGGATTCAAAGTAGCAGAGACATAAAAACAATAGTGACTAAAGTAAATTATAAATTGAACGCTTATGCAATTGAAAAGATATTTCAGGCTTTGTGATTGGGGACTTATTTGCATTGTCACATTTAATCCTCGTAAGAACTCCTGAGGATTTTCCAGGTGAGAAAACTGAAGCTCAGGTTGAATAAAATGCCCAAGAACTGGAACTGGTCATTGAAATCTGTTGCTGGCACCAGTGCTTCTCAGTTTACCTAGTGGAGTCTCAAGTGGCTGAAATGTGCACTACCACCACATACTAATGGGAAGGCTGAGTCTAGCCCACGTCTGAGAACCAGTTTGTATTTTGCCTTAGGAAGCAAAGTCAGATGTTATCTTGGTGCCTCTTGAGCAGCTGACACGTGGTTCTGTGAGAGTCCTTGGACTTGTGCTCATTAAGCTGATTGGAATACCAAGCAAGCCTTGAATTTTAGCAGCAAGGCCTAGAAAGTTCTAGAATTGGAAGTAATTACAGTCATTTATCTGCTTTTGGTTTATGACAGTCCCTCCAGAACTGATAGGAAATAATTCTGAGAACTCGTGGGAAACATTGAAGACTAGTATCAATTCCAAGTGAATGTGGTTTTTTGTTAATACCCTCCTTTCTGAGTGAGTCAGGGTTCTCTTCTGATATTAAATATTGTGATGTCTTTCTTAATATTCACATTGAAGATATATTTGCCCGACACAAAATTCCTATTGTCGTGGGAGGAACCAATTATTACATTGAGTCTCTACTCTGGAAAGTTCTTATCAGTGCCAAGGTATGTTTAGATCACTTGTAACTCTTTTTTTTTTTTTTTTTTTTTTTACCAGCTAATTTTAGTGGAAGGGCTCTTGCCTATTTCTTACACTCAGCAACTGTAATTTTCCAACTTAATATTCTGAAGCGAATGCCACCTCCATATGTGAAGTGTGCTCCTCCAGGCAGGCCTAAGGGCAGGGGCTGTGTGTGGGAAAAATGCTTCTCTGTGGATTAATTAGCATCTCCATATAGTTAGCAGCGCACTAGTCTGATTCAGCATTTCCTGGCTGTAACCATCTCTGTGTCAGGGAGATATCCAATACTAACCTTCCTTACAGAGACGCTATTGCAGAGGGTGGGACTTGGCAAACTACGTGCTGGCCATTAGGATCTACTCTGATCACACTTACTGAGAACACGGCTCCTGGATGTCTTCATATAGACATGTTAGCCTGGTACCCATTTGTATTCTATTTGTATTCTTGACAAGGAAGCAGGGTACCTGAGTATGTCTCCCTTCCTCTTTTTTTTTTTTTTTTTTTTTTTTTTTTAATATATTTTATTGATTTTTTACAGAGAGGAAGGGAGAGAGAGAGCTAGAAACGTCGATGAGAGAGAAACATCAACCAGCTGCCTCTTGCACACCCCCTACTGGGGATGTGCCCGCAACCAAGGTACATGCCCTTGACCGGAATCGAACCTGGGACCTTTCAGTCTGCAGACCGACGCTCTACCACTGAGCCAAACCGGTTTTGGCTCCCTGCCTCTTTTATTTGTGGTGGTCTCCCAGCACAACCATGATGTATTGGGATTTTCTGTTTATGATCTCTCTCTCACTGTATGGCAAGACCTTCTGAATCATCTCTATTCTGTATTCCTAACATTTAGCTGAGTGCCTGGTAATACACTGTCTCGGTGCTAATTGAATTCTTGAGTTAAATTTACTTCTAAACTTTCACTTAATAGACCCAGGAGATGGGCACTGAGAAAGAGGTTGACCGGAAAGTAGAGCTTGAAAAGGAAGATGGCCATGTACTTCACAAACGCCTAAGCCAGGTGGACCCAGAAATGGCTGCGAAGCTGCATCCACACGACAAGCGCAAAGTGGCCAGGTAAGAAAGCCCTCTGACCCCTGAGTTCCTGTAGAGCTAGAGGAGAGTGACTTCCTCACTGTGCCTGGGTGCTGAGAGAGAGGTTTGATGATAGTATTTAGTGGAGGTTGATGTGTTACTGCTTAGAAGGTTAGGAGGCCCTGAGTTACTGCCGCAGACCAACTCCCTCAATAAATGGTTGTACCCTACTTTGTTGTTGCATTTCAAATGCATATACAATATAGTTTTTCCCTCGGGCCTATGTAATCTTGCCTCATTTTCTGTTTGATCTTTGCTTGTATAACAGTTTTCATATAAGTTTTTCTGGCAGGCAGTAGGTTTACATTGTGACTTGGGTTTCATAATTGATTGTGCAATGCTGAGTTCTGCCCCAACAGCTTTCCCAGTGGGAGGTAGATGTTATAAACTCTCTCATAGATCAGCTCACCTTTACACATGGAGATCCTCTTGAAGGGAAGAGAGAGGTGGTGCATGAACTCATAAGGTCATGTTTTCTTAGGTGGTTTAGAAATTGCAGCCTCATGTGTTGGCTGTATTTTTCTGTGTTGGAAGTATCTGACAGAGTAGAAGACCTAGTGAAGTATCTACTATGTGGATGGTTATAAAGACCAAATATAGCAACATTGATAGGGATTATGAAGTGTTCCATTCAAATGAATGTTCTAAATCATGTTACTGAATTCTTTTTTCATTATTGTCGCCCACCCTACCTAGAAACCTTTTAGAATTGTTTTTCCTAATTATGCCCCCTTCCTTCTTCACACCAATGAAATTTTAATCCTGGGGAATAATGGGATTTTTTTGGTATGGCTGACCTTTGGAGGGATACACACCTTATAGTAGATAAGGGTTGTTTTTGCCTCCTTAAGGGCAATATCACTTTGGTGATAATGCATAGTCTAGATAAATGAAGGTTATGTTTTCTAGTATCCAAACATTTTATTTATTTTTTATATATATATATATATATTTTATTGATTTTGTACAGAGAGGAAGGGAGAGAGACAGAGAGTTAGAAACATCGATGTGGGAGAGTCATCGATCAGCTTCCTCTTGCACACCCCCTACTGGGGATATGCCCGCAACCAAGGTACATGCCCTGGACCGGAATCGAACCCTGGTCCCTTGAGTCCCCAAGCCGACGCTCTATCCATTGAGCCAAACCGGTTTCGGCAGTATCCAAACATTTTAATAAAAATATTTTTAAAAAATTTTTGAAAACTCAGGAACATTATGATGAGCATTCGTTTTTATATTATTTTATGATATGATTCTGGAGCTTGGTCCATATTATCCTCTCCTTTTATCAAGTAGTTCTCCCTTAGCACCTCTCCTCATTTCCTATTTCTAAACTAGTAAATGAGTTGAGAACTGTGTCTTCGTAAGAGTCAATCGAGTCTAAGTAAGAGCTCTAGAGTCTTTCTTTACAAAAGATTGGAGGACTTTGTCATCTTTCTTTTAGTTTGAGCCTGTAGTCTAACCTCCAGAAAAGGAAGATGATGTCACTATACGTTTTTTCCTCATAGGTCCTCTTTGGATGACCAGTGATGTGAAATAACAAGGGGTCTTTACTCTTGTGCTAGGGTTTCAGGAAGTAGAATTGGGTCAGGAAGGGAAAGATCCCTTTCACGCTGATAAATTACAATCACCCAGGGTGGTAGAGTATAGAATTGGGAGTTAAATTACCTAGTGCTGCGTGACATAACAGATACTGACAGAGTATATGATGACTTAAGAGTAGGTATGTGAGTTCTTTTTCCATTGGTCTTTGTGCTAGTGGAATACTGAATTAGTCAGAATTTTAGACATATTTAAAAAGAAAGTTGATGAGCTGGCTATACAACATACTTTTCTACTGTGGGAAAGGCATTCTAGCGAGACTAGACTTGTTGGCTTGTAACAAAGTGTCCCAAACAAGTTCTTTTACTGCTTACCTGAAAGTAAGTCCCATTCTGTCTGGGTAGAAGAAACCTGTTGTTTCCGAATCTGTTTAACCGATTTCAGAAAAATTGCTGTGTGTTTAAAGGAATAGTTTTATTTCTTACTTTACCTGGAGTTTTCTTAGGCCCCCTTTCTGAATAGCTATAGAATCATAGTAACCTGGACTTTCATGTCTTCACGGGCTTATGCAGTGAAAGTGAGAATGAGATGTTTTATAATAAACACCCTCCTTGAGAATTAAAATTTCCTATGACTTTTACTCCCTTCTTCCCTTCCACCCCCAAATAACTTAGGAGTTTGCAAGTGTTTGAAGAAACGGGAATCCCTCACAGTGAATTTCTTCATCGTCAACATGCAGAGGAAGGCGGCGGTCCTCTTGGAGGCCCTCTGAAGTTCCCGAACCCTTGCATCCTCTGGCTTCATGCTGACCAGACAGGTAAAAGCCCTTCGATGCCCTAGAGTTCATCCGAGTTAGATCTTATAATAACATATGACTGTATGTAACATGCTTACAACCATGAGTGGCTCATAATAAACACAAAATAAGTATTAGTTATTAACTTTCTTTTCATTTACTATTATTTGTTGACTTAGTAAGGCCCAGTGCCATTCTCCTAAGTGTCTATCTGAAAAGGGAATAAGGGCAGTCCTGACACTAGGATTAAGATATCAAAGGTGGGATAAGATGGGATGAGTGGGGTGGAAGAGAGATTCTATCCAGGGAAGATCCACAGGAGAAAGCTAAAGAGAAGGGAGGCTCCTGTGGAAGAGGTTGAAGTGTCAAGTGTTCTGAATGGTACTTGGATTTCAGCGATGAATATGAGACCCAGTGCCTGCTCTTAGTCTGGTGGGGCGACAAATAATGAGAGAGAGACTACATTGTGACAAATGTTGGCTAGAAAGAGATGGGTGTTCTGTGCGGGGAGTTAGGGACCAATCTGTACAGGTAATCTATGAGCTAGGTCTGGAAAGGTGAGATTGTTTTGAGAATAGGCAGTATAGTGTGGTTATTGAGAGCCGACTGTTTGGGATTCAGACTCCTGACCCATCATCTTCTAGCTATGCGAGTTTTAAGGCAAGTTACTTTACTTTCTGTGCTCCCCATTTTCTCTCCTGCAAAATGGAGATAATGTTTCAGCACATATCTCACCGCTTCGTTGAGGATTAGTTTAGTTAATAATATAAAGCACTGAGAATGTGCTTGACACATCTAGAGTCCTCAATAAATGCAAACTTTTTAGGAAGACAGAAACATGGGTTAGTGCCATTGCAGGCAATGAAATAGCAGTGGCAGTGGTGTAGAAGAGCATGACTGAAATGGTGAAAATTTGTTATTAATTTTAGTTATAAGTTTATAGAAAAAGATAGTGTTTTCATAATGGAAAAAATTTTAAAGGGATTTTTTTAAAATTGATTTTTAGAGAGAGAGGAAAGGAGAGGGAAATGTTAATTCGAGAGTGAAACCTTGATGCGATAGTGAAATATCCATGGGCTGCCTCCTGCACTCCCTCTTGGGGGGATCAAGCTGTATTATATCATGTGCCCTGATTGGGAATTGAATCTTTTGGTGCATAGGACAACGCCCAACCAACTGAGCCACACTGACTAGGGCCATAATTAAATTTTGTAAATAAAAATGTCCTGTAATTTAGCATAATATAATAGTATCTGATTTATAATAAAGTTGTATTTGACCACTGCATCTGCATGATTATGACCTCTCACTCTTCGTTCAATTGTTCAGGATACACCAAGGATGACTTTGGACTAAAGTTCCTTTTACTTTTGAAGGAATCATCTGAGAATTCTCAAAATGAGAAATAACACAAAATTAGAATAACAAATATGATAGAAAAAAAGTAAGAAGGGTAAACCAGGGGGTTCTTAGTTGCCTCTAAAATAAACAATAGACACACATTCCATTTGAGAATAAAATATTTGTGGATAGAGTGTCAGCCTGTGGACCAAAGGGTCTGGGTTTGATTCGGTCAAGGGCATGTACCTCAGTTACAGGCTCCTTCCCTGGCCCTGGCCAGGGCATATGCAGGAGGGATCCAATTCATGTGTTTCTCTCACATTGATATTTCTGTCTTTCCTCTCTTCCATTCTCTAAAAATCTATGGAAAAATATCCTCAGGTGAGGATTTAAATAAATAATAAATAAAATAAAAAATACTTGTTCTCCCCAAAAGATGCAATTGTATGCTTTCTCTTTATATAATAATAAGATGTGTTAATAATAAGGCTGTTTTCATTGGAGTTGCAGAGTCTCAGTGTGACTAAATGTCATATGAATTATTATATAACTAGAGGCCCAATGCACAAAATTCATGCAAGAGCGGGCCTTCCTTCCCCTGGCTGCTGGCACTGGCATCCCTCTGGCACTGGGACCCGGGCTTCCCTCCAGCCGCTGGCAGGCGCCTGGAATGGGATTCCCTCCCAGCCCTGGCTTCGTCCGGAAGGATGCCCGGAAGACGTCTGGTCTAATTAGCATATTAGCCTTTTATTCTTTGAGATCTTTGCATTTGAACCCTTTCTTCCATTTGAACAAATTTTCTTCTTTGTGCAGCATGTCCATTCATGTAGGTGTATGGTTACACACCTACACCAGGCTTACAGGTGATGGGTTAATTTGGTTCAAGTTCTAGATGAGCGCTTGGAGAAAAGGGTGGATGACATGCTTGCTGCTGGGCTCTTGGATGAACTAAGAGATTTTCACAGACGCTATAATCAGAAGAAAGTTGAAGAAAATAGGTGAGGATTTGACTTATTACTTTAACCCAATCTCCATCCCTTGCTTATGGTCAAAAGACTACAAACATAATACTGGCTTTGGATCTTCCTGTTTGTTAGCCTTTGTCCTTGGCAAGGCTTGTTGGGGAGGTTTGGTGTACTTGTTACAGTTGCAGTTTTCTAATCTGCCGGGCATTCTCAGGAGTTAATTTTCAAGGGAAGTAACCTGGCAACTGGTGGGGGTGGTGGAGGAAGGAGTTCAGAGAGGAAATAACTGCTCAAGATCTTAGTTTCCTCATCTGAGGGATGGAATGGCTCAGCTCGATCATCTCCAAGGTCCCTGCTAGTGCTCAGGTGCAATGGCTCCTCTGCTGACCTCTCCTGTTCCCAGCCAGGACTATCAACACGGTATCTTCCAGTCAATTGGCTTCAAGGAATTTCACGAGTTCCTGACCACTGAGGGAAAATGCACACCCGAGACTGGTCACCAGCTCCTAAAGAAAGGTGTGGATTTCTCCATCTATCCCAGCGTGGGCATCCTGGGTGACGGAGTTCCCTGCTGGTATGGTCTGAGCGAGCACTAAGGCTAGATGAGTCCCAAATGGCCGCAGCTCAGAATTAAGATTTTTGTCGACCAAGTGTCCGCTGGTGTGCTGCCATGGCTAATTTTCTCTTATGCTGGGCGGGATGGGCCTTCCTTTGGCAGGGTGAAAAGTACTTAGAGGTCCTTATGTCTACTTTGATCTTTCAGGTATTGAGGCCCTGAAACAAGTGACTAAGAGATATGCCCGGAAGCAAAACCGATGGATTAAAAATCGCTTTTTGAGCAGTAAGTCTTATGTTTTTCCTTATCCCCTGGGTATGTGTTCAATAGAGTATAGATGCCCTCAGCTCACCTAGAAAATGAACTTCAGTTTCTGGACCCGTATTAAGATTGGAGACATGACCTGGGTAGGTGTCTGTTGCATAATTGATTGTTCAGGGATATTTTCTTTTTGTTTTTTCTTTTTTAAAATATATTTTATTGGCTTCTTTACAGAGTGGAAGGGAGAGGGATAGAGAGCTAGAAACATCGATGAGAGAGAAACATTGACCAGCTGCCTCCTGCACACCCTCTATTGGGGATGTGCCCGCAACCAAGGTACATGCCCTTAACCAGAATCGAACCTGGGACCTTTCAGTCCACAGGCCGATGTTCTATCCACTGAGCCAAACCGGTTTTGGCCAGGGATATTTTCTTGTGATGTCTCAGAAAACAAGTCTTTCCAATGAGAAGTCTGCCCTGTGTGTGCCTTGAACACATGCATGTTGGCTGCAAACTGGGAAGAGCAAAATAGCAACATCTTAGCAGAGTTGGTGCTCAGGGTTGGTTGTAGCTTCTAATTTTGAAGAGCAATCAAATTTCTGTAGGAAGCCTTTCCTAATTAGCATGGTTTTGGGGCCAGATGAGCAGTATAAAAAGACAAAATATTCAACAGAGTGTTTTGTGTTCAGATATGTGGTGCTTCAAACTGCTTCACCTTTAATTTTAGTTAGATAGCACTTTTTAAAAATAAAACTTTATTGTTGAAAGTATTATAGATATTCCCCTTTCCTCCTCCCTCCCCTCCATTAAACCCCTATACCCTGTACCCGCCCCCTAGGTGGCACTTTATTGTTGTTAATACCCCAGGATATTTTTTTGGAGAGAGTGGAAGGGAGGGAGATGGGCGGGGAGAGGAAGATAGAAACATCCATGAAAGAAACACATGACTGGTTGCCTCCCACCTGCTCCCTGACTGGGGCCCAGGATCGAGCCTGCAACCTAGGTATGTGCCCTTGACTGGAAATTGAACCTGTGATGTTCAACCACTGAATATACATGGGCCAGGGCTGTATAGCACTTTTAAGGAAAAGGAAAGGAAAATCTCATTCATTGATACTTGGTACTAAATTTGGTGCTATACATACATTATTCTGTCTTCCAGGTATTTTATTTTTGCAGGTAAGGATATGGAAGTTCAGACAGGTTAAATAACTTGCTAGGAATCCCTAGCTATTAAGCAGTAGAGTATTGAATGCAGGCCTGGTTTTGAAGTTCATGCTCTGCTTTCCACCAGTCTTCTTGTTTCCTATAGTTATAACTTTAGCTGGACGGCATTTGTATTGACCTTGGGTAAGAAATTGTGTGCTTATTAAGATACTAGAGGCCTGGTGCACGAAATTTGTACATGGGCAGGGTCCCTAGGCCTGGCTGGCAATCAGGGCCAGGGCCTTCGCCTTCCTTTGTTCTGCACTACCCCCTGGTGGTCAGCGCATGTCATAGTGAGCAATTGAACTCACGGTCTCTGAGTTCAAACTCCTGAGGGGACACTTTGCATGTTAGCCATATATATATATCATAAGTGAAACCCCAATTTCATCTTGTGGGCACTTTTAAAATATGCTTCTGAATCCCCCCCTGTTTACCTTTTACTTTGGCTTCAGTCACAGAAAAGGGCAGCGAGGCCGCCCACCCTGCTCCTCAGCGCCTCCGAACATAAACACCTTGATTCATGTTGTTGACCATCAGATTGCTGAAGTTCTCTCTCCCAGCTCTCCCTCTCTGACAGAGCTCTCCATTGTTGTACTGGTGCCAAGAGGCTCTTGACACTTTCTTCTACTTACCCTGCTTTCTTTGCATGTCCTGTGAGATAGAGGAAGCCTGAGTCAGCTGAAATGGAGGTTCACTACTATGAATTTCTAATGCAGCTTCTCTTCTCCCCAAGGCTGCAATTAGTCTGTAACAAAAGATGTTTTTTTGTGTTGTTTTTTTTTAATGGTTTGGAGCTTCCTTCTGTGGTAAAGCCACAATAATCCCCCCACCCCCCATCTCCAAGTCAGGAGGAGCTGATGGCACAGTGCATCATATGCCCGTTCCTCATTCATGCATATGCCCACACAGTCCTGGCGCTAGTGTGAAAGGCACAGCTGCCCTGCAAATCAGGAGCTGTGTGTGATTGGCCAGGGCTGGTCTGCTGGGATCTGGTTCTGGCAAGAATCCAGGGGGACTTCCCCACCCCAGCTTGGCCTTGGACTCAAGCCAGGAATAGCAGCTGGGAGCCGAGAACTTGTTGAAAGGTGCTTAGACAGGGCACAGAAGCCCAACAAAGGACTCAGAGGGAAAGGAAAATATAGAGTGGCCTGGAAACAGGTGCAGAGCTTAGCCACGGCCAGGTGTGCTGTGGATGCTGCCTGCGCCCTCCCAGTCTCACCTTTCCGTGTGGTGGCAGGTGCGGCCCAGTCCATTTTAAGAAGAATCTTATTTGTGGTTGGCACAATCAAAAGGCTAGCACCTGCCTGCCGTTGGCATCCTGAGGACTTTGATGTTTTTGTCCATGGGGCAGTGCTCTTTGCCGTTAGGCAACTGACTTAACGGAGCTGTGGAAGGCAATTCAGTGTATCTTCAGACTGGGGAGCCTACCAGCAGAGACACCAAACATAGTTGGCTCAGATGGATGAAATGCCTATAGCTGTATTCTTGGCTACCTCCAGTCTCATCTCCATTCAGAAGTACTTCAGGCTATTAGCTTATTTCCTCCTGTGATGCGCTATCTTTACATCATAGCCCACACAGTGGTTTTTAGAGCTGTTACTCTATATTGTTTTCCTTTCTGATTTGGAAGATCCCACCCTCGAGACTCTGTATATAGCTAGACTTGTTGGCTACAGACCAGTCAACCTTCTAAGTCTTTGTTGAATTGAAGTCCTGGAAGCAGAATAGATGAGGTCTTGGGGGGCTGACTTCTCACAGCTTTTCTTTGTCATCTTTAGGACCTGGTCCCAGTGTCCCCCCAATATATGGCTTAGAAGTATCTGATATCTCGAAGTGGGAGGAGTCTGTTCTTGAACCTGCTTTTGAAATTGTGCAAAGTTTCATCCAGGTGATTATTAATCATGGTAGTGCCTATTGTCTGGTTTTCAGACAGCTTTCCTTAGTTTATACCTTTGTTGGGAACCTAGCCTTCTTTTCCGTGGAAGAGAGCAGAAGGGCTGGCTGCTTTTAGATCCCGGGAGGCTGTGTTTCTACCTTCACATTCAGAAAGGTTGTTGCTAAAGTCTGTTCACAGCCCACCTGCTCTCTGGGATGAGAAAAAAGAATCTTGGGACTATCCCACTATCCTTAATATCAGAGAATGATCTCCAAGTCTCTTTGAATTGAATGCTTCTCTGCCACCCCCACCCCCTTTGCTATTTCAGGGCCGCAAGCCTGATGCTGATCCTGTAAAGATGCCATCCAGTGAAACTGAGAACAAGAGGAGTTCTCACATGTGTGACCTCTGTGGTCGAATCATCATTGGGGACCGTGAATGGGCAGGTAGAGTCTGAGGAATGGCACAGAGAAATCTTTAACGGGGTGTCACACACTAACTTCATGAAATTCAAGGTCTTTGCTAGGTTGAAGGCTAGAGTCTGTGTATTTGTAAAGGGAGGGCCAGATTCTCTGAGAGCCTGTACTCAAATTTCATGGCTGTCTTCCCAAATTGGACAGTTATCTCTGTATTCTGAGTTTCAAAGGAAGATCGTATGCCCTCGGCTAGAGTAGATAATTTATGCCGAAGGGTCTACAGTTAACTTTCCAGAGTCCTTTGATTTTTGTGGACCTGCCTTATAAGAGTTCCTTGGCCTTTCGTATTTAGACCTCAGTGGGATGGGGTAGGATTTTAAGGGAGGCCAGGTAATCACCCAAACAAGCAGAAATGGCTGGAAAGGAGCAGGAAGTGCAGTTACTCTTTCTGAGTACATTCTTCAGAAGTGGTGTCTCTTCGGTAATTTTTAAGGTAATGTTGAAATGGTGGTGGTTGTTAAAACTGATGAAAAGTGTTAAGGGGAACTTAACGTTCAACGTAGCAAAGTGTGACAGCAGGGCCATCAGTCATGTAAAAGAAGGTGGTTATAGGCAATGTCTCCTTGATAAGGTACTTCTGGCTAACCAGGGATCAGCCCTGTGTGAAGGCTCCGCTCTGTTTTAGAGCCTAGATCTGCCTCTGCCAGAGTCACACTGCACTCCCTCTGATTTCTGTCGTCACCCAGTCAGATCCCAATGGGCCTTAGCCTCCAAGCCGTGAATTTGTGTCACATTTAGAAACTTGTTTAAGGCTCACTCCTTTTGTGCACAGCCGGACTACCTGATGCCTGGAGCCCTTCTGTTCAGAGTACTGCTTTGCATGGGATTCTTACAGAAATTGGTTTTTCTCCCCATACCAACCAGTAGAATGATTAAGTCTATTAACTGGTAACTCTGGCAAAATGAACTCCATTGTCAGACTGGGGACGGCTGTGACTGCCCAAGCAGCAGAAGAAGCCTCGATTGTCATTGGTTTATAATGATGAAAGGAGCAGAGAGAGAGAGAGTCTGATTGTTTTTTCTAGAGGAAACTTAGTGGTTCGATTTGTCCAGTGTCCTTCAGGGGTAGCCCTAGAGAAGCAACATTTGTGAGCCTTTGTGAGCTTGGCCTGTATAAGCTCCTCTATAGTGCCATCTGTCAGGTCTCGGCTCCTGCCTCCTGCTGCCAGGGAGAGCCAATCCAGAGTGTCCCTCCCACCCACCCACCCCCCCCCTTTTTTTTTTTTTGCCTTAGCCTCTAACTAGAGAACAAAGCTGACTTTCCCCCCAAGTAAACTTTGCTTTGACTTCTAACCTCTTCCTTATTTTGCTTCTGACCCTTTAAAAATGATTATTTAAATATGTAGAAATAGAATTTAACCTGTTTATTTTTTTTTAGGTGTTTTCCAAATAAGAATTTATTGAAAAGAACAGGCTAGTGAAAAGGAGCTTGTGTGAGTTAGTCAGAGGGTGGGAGCTGTCTGGAGTGAGAGGTCAGAAATTGCTATCAGGCTGCAATAGCTTGACTGCTTCTGTGGACCCTCAGAGGGATGTCAGAGGAGGTTTCTTGTTATCTGCCCGGAGCATTGTGTGTCTGCATAATGTAAGCCTTGTGGGTTAGTCACTCAGATGGCTTATCTGACCCGGGCAGAGGGATGGCAGTGCAGGAGGGCAGCCTGTAGAGCAGGGAAGCAGTAGGAAGGCATCTCGGTGCCGCAGGCCTGTGGCAGGCAGGTCAGCTGTCCTGTAATACAGACAAGGGTTTGAATTTTTAACTTTTTAGTCACGTGAGTTGAAATGTATCTGTGACTGGGGAGCCCTATACCAAAAAATAGAGTTGAGTCCTGATTCTGGAAAATTTGGCCCCTTTTTCGAACTATAGGTAAGCTGAGGAGCTCACCTGCTGTGTGGTCTTGGACAAAATGTAAGGCCTCTGTGAACTCCAGTTTCCTCTTGTATAAAATGAGCTGCGTAGTACCGTCTGCAAGGTTTTGGGGAGGATTAGTGATGTAAAGCACCTAGCAGGGTAGGGTGCGTGTGACCCATGGTAGCTTGCTATAGTTTGATAGCTCACTGGCCGTATAACTTATTCTTCCTTTAAAATTGCTAAGCAGCTATACCGATACATGTGTTGTTCTTGTTACGATTAAACCAGAAGGGTTGCATAGCTAGTTTTATATGCTGCTAGGATTAATTCTAGAAAAGCCTAATTAGCTTTTTGTGTTGTTGTTGTTGTTGTTTTATTTTAGCACATATGAAATCCAAACCCCACTTACACCAGCTGAAGAAAAGAAGGCGGCCGGACCCGGATGCCTCCAGCCCCAGAGGAAGTCAGAGCATTTCCCCGCACCGTGACAAAGAGCTTGAAGAGAACAGATCCGTAGGGCGGAATGATGAAGACCTGAAGTCCAGTGTTTGAGGGACATGTCCAGCGGCCTTGGCAAAAGTGGGATCTAGTTCCAGAGGGAGGGTATGTCTGCACCCCAGTCCGGGCGGAGGAGCGTGCAGAAAGCTCCCGCCATTTTCCTTCATTCAGGGGTGTGGTTTTAAAGTCATGGGGACAGCAGGTCTTGTCAGCTCCTGGGTGGCTGATGTGTCTGGCAATGTGAGTTCGGGAAGGGATTTTCTCTTTTAACCTTGAAGGTTCTGTTTTTAAAAGAGGCACCGATTGTACTTTTTCATACTTGAGGAGATCTTTTTGGTGATGAAAACCAGGATTCACTATATCCCTTCAAAAAGGAGTTTTATGTCCCTGACTTTGGCTAAAAATATCGATAACTTCCAGACACTTTTATAGATGACCGAAGGATCATGCACCCCACAAATGGGAGTTGTGGATTTGAGTGGATGGCAGGAGAGGACTGCCCCCAGGTAGATGGTTAGGTGAACCAAACCAGTTCTTGGAATTCCATAGAGGAGAGAATCCGACCAAGGTGGCTGTGACATGGGGTTTGAAAAACTAAAGACATCGGCATTTATTGTGTGACAATTACTGTGACTACTATCTCTATTGAGTTTGGAATCTACATTTTATCTATTTTTAAAAAAATATATTTTATTGATTTTGTACAGAGAGGAAGGGAGAGGGATAGAGAGTTACAAACATCGATGAGAGAGAGTCATCGATCAGCTGCCTCTTGCACACACCCCCATTGGGGATGTTCCTGCAACCAAAGTACATGCCCTTGACCGGAATCGAACCTGGGACCCGTCAGTCCCCAAGCCGATGCTCTGTCCATTGAGCCAAACCTGTTTTGGCACATTTTATCTATTTTTTTGTTTGTTTCTAAGGAATCTACATTTTATTTTTATTTTTTAAAATATATTTTGCAGAGAGGAAGGGAGAGGGACAGAGAGTTAGAAACATTGATCGGCTGCCCGCAACCAAGGTACATGTCCTTGACTGGAATCGAACCTGGGACCCTTCAGTCCACAGGCCAATGCTCTATCCACTGAACCAAACCAGTTAGGGTGGAATCTACATTTTAAATAAAGAAAAAGTTGGAAAGAGCTTTTATTAGTCCTTAAAAAGAGATATATGTCTATATCTAGTTTATATACATATGATTTGTTATCAACAGATGGCTTTTTTTCAAATTTGGTATTCTTCATGTAATTATACTATCTATCCATTTTATTAGAGATATAAGTTATCTCCAGTTGAACCTCTCTTTTTTGGAATGACCTGAACTGCCAACAATGTTACGTACATGTAACATTGTATGCATATAACATAAAGTTAAGCATTTTTAAGTTTATATTAATTACATTCTTAGTGTTGTGCAACCATCACCAGTTTCCAAAACATTTTCATCACCCCAAGCAGAAACTCGGTACCTATTAAGCAATAACTCTCTTCTCAAGTAATATTTTATTTGTTCAGAGCCTACTATAAGAGAGTCCCTGAACTAGGCAAAAGGGAATACAGAGATAAAATGAGGTGATCCTTGCCCTAGCTGGTGTGGATCAATGGATAGAGCATCACTTACAGACTGAAGGATCAACCTAAATAAGAAAATATCAAAGGCTCTATGAACAGTGTAGAATTTCACTTTTGAGGGAGGGAAAGGGGTTGTGGAAAAAAAAGCACTTCTGCTAGACCTTAAAAAGCAACTCTTGGTAAATGTATTGTTAGCTGTGCATATGAGGAGAGGGTGAAGTAAAAGAACTATCAGACTTGATTGAGCTTTTAAACAATGCTAAATTCCATAGCTTCACTCCTTTCTTTTTCTTCGAATATTTTAAAGTTTTATTTTTTACCAGACTTTTTTTTTTTTTACCAAAAATCAGAAATTAAAATGATATAAAGACATTCATTGAGAAATTTTACTCCCACCTCCATGCCCTTTTGCCCCCATAGATAATCACTTACTAATTTCTTAGATATCTCAAGAATTTTTAAGCAAAACCAAATACAAATATATATATTTTTTTTTATTTTTTCTCTTACCCCAAAGATGCCATATAGCACATACTATGTTCATCTGTCACCTTATCTATTGGCAGTACCTAGGTATACATGGATTTCTCCTGCCACCTGTCAATTCTCCTGTTTTTGGCCCTGACCACCACCCTAGGGTCCTCCAGTGTACTCACCATTGTTTACCGATCTTTATTCCAATGCCAGAGTTTAGGCTAAAAGCAGCCTCTGATAAACTCTCAAGCTATGGCCAGCCCATCACTCAGCCAGCAAATATTTTAGAAATTAAGTGCCATGTGCTATGCTAGGCTCTGGGAATACGTGGTGATCAAAAAAGTCCACATGGATCACATAATTATAGGATTATGCCTGTGATTCGGGCTGCAAAGGAAGGACACTTGCTGCGAGAGCAGGCAGTGAGCAGCGCCTCGCCTTTGTGCGTGGGAGCGAGCGCATGTGTCGGGGAGGCACCTGACGTGGCACGGCGCGAGGCCAAGGCAGGAGTCGGGCCAGGGCAGCGAGTGTGCTGCCACGTGACCTGGGAAGCTGGGTTTCGCAACTTGACATCCGTGGCTTTCCTTCTCCCTCTCCCAGTCTGGGGGCTGCCCTGGCTCCCTTGAGTTTTGCATCTTACCTCCCACCTCCGCTTTATCTGATTTGAATCTCGAGAATAAATTTTTCTCTGGTCAAAGAGGAAATGAGCATTGTATTCCCCCATGTTGGCCTTTACATCAAACATGGCGTAGCCCTAGCCAGTTGGGCTCGGTGGATAGAGCGTTGGCCTGTGGACTCAGGGGTTGGGGGTTTGATCCCCTCCAGCAGGGGACATGCAGGAGGCAGCCAATCAGTGATTCTCTCATCATTGATGTTTCAATCTCTATTTCCCTTTCCTCTCTGAAATCAATAAAAAAATATTTTTTAAAAAGCATGGCATAACTTTCACAGTTTATTAACTATTTCAGGAGCTAACGTGGTGGGAAGCCACATCTACCCACTGGAAGTGGAGGTGTGTTTACTGCGAGTCAGACCAAGTTTGTGTACATTGTCTTCTCACGCAGCTCTGGGGGCGATGCTGTTTCTGTTCCTGTTAGCCGGCGGAGCAGTTCCTGTTAACCAGTGCGGCCAGCGAGCGCGGACCAGCCCTCCTCCGGCTGCGGACCAGCCCTCCTCCGGCTGCGGAGCGCTGTGTGAAGCTGCCCGTTTGCAGGGGGACCTCAGTCTTTATGAAATGCTCGTCACTCGAGTTGCCAAATGCATTTGAAAGCTTTTTAAAAGCTCCAGTGGACAAACAGGAAAAACTAGTTTTAACAATCCTACCTCAAAAAGCCTTTAATCCTGGCATCTGAAATACCTGGTGCAGCAACTTCCCATTCAACCCATCGCTATCTCTGCGATTCTCAGCCTTTTTCATCTCGTGGCACATAAACCAATTACTAAAACCCTGCAACATGCCAGATACTTTTTTTTTTTTTTTTTTTTTTTTTTGCCAGTGTGACCAATAACCGGATGGTTATTGTGTTGGCTGTTGTAATTTTTTAATTTGACAGTCGAGGGGAAAAGAGGTCAGTGTCCCTGACTAGGTATTGCATGTTTTAAAAAGTCTTGTGGCACATCAGTTGAAAATTGCTGCTCTTGGCAATTGGAAATGAAGAATTTCTTGAAAGAAAAACAATAACGTGCCTACTATTAAGGAAGCGCCTACAAAAGTTAAGGCACTGTGATTGTTCTTAGAAATTATAAACGGAATTTTGCCACCAGCAGCAGAACCTGGGGAAGCCGGACACTAGAGGTCTGCTGGGTGCTGGGTCTGAGTACTCCCTCAGGTACTTTCCCTTCTCTGCCTGCTCCCTCTGAATGGCATGGCTGTTGAGTGCAGGGAAGGGAAGTGGTTCTATGGTTGTCATAAATGTCGAGATGGAAGGAGCCACATCGCCTTGTACAGATGGGAGGACAGGCCCAAAACATGAAGTTCTGTAGTCAGGGAGCAAGTTGTGGCAAAGCCAGGACAGACCTCTCGCTCACCTATTAAATCTCAGCAAATCTCACTTGACATTGGGCAAGGGAAAGACCAGAGACCAGCTTTGGACTATTTCAGCCTCCGGTAAGGATGAGGAGCGCCATCTCAACCTCTGGCCTCAGCTAATCCCCGTGCAAGTCCAGGTACTCGGTCTCCAGTCGCAGCAGTGCTGTCTGGATGGCTTGGGTAATTAATTCCAACACTCAGTAAGCTATTAGGCCCCTCTACCTCTACCTGACAGTAAAGGTTTTCCCAGTTTTACCGAGATGCAATTGACAAAGTAAAAATCTTGACTAGGCTTTGGATACTCCTTACAGTTCAGACAATGCCATTCTAAGCAGTTAGGAAATACTTTGAAAAGGAAACTGGATTCTTAGTCCTTAAAATATTTTGATTGATTTTTAAGGCTAAACAAAACGGTTGAAATACAGGCACATGATTTGATCCTTTGTAACTTGCAGTCATTTGTATTCTTAGCCTAAGTCCCACATTCCACAAAGATTTTTTTTTTTTTTGCTTAAAACAACAACATTAAAAACAAAACAACACTACTCACTAGAAAGCAAGCTTTTATAAACATAGGAATCTTTCTATCTATCCCCAGCCTCTAGAAAGGCAAGTATTTGTTGAATTAATTGCATAAAAACCAAGTACGTCTCCATAACTGATCCGTTTCACTTGTTAAATAGCATTTAACCAGACGAAGACATTCTGGGATAGTGGCCACAGGAAGGAATGCCATTATTTGATTATCACATACTTGGGAGGTTAGGGCTCTGTTCTGAAAAGATGGTTAACTGGTCATTTGTAAAGCTATTCTGAATACACAAAGGACTTTGCATGGTTGTATTAGGGTAAAAAGCTAAGCTGCTGTAACAGACTCAACAATGCGGTGGCTTAAAAAACAAAGAGGTTTGTTTCTCACATAACAGCTCTGAGGGGAGTTAACATTTCTGAAGTGAGCAGTCCAGGTCAGTGGAGC